GAACAAAATTCAAAAAATCTAAAAAAAGACCAGGCTTAATGGTCTGACAGAGCCTGGTGAAACCCCTGAGACCATGGCCCCTAATTATCCTTCAGGGCTGGAATTGAACTCATTCCTGTGGCTTCCAGCTAAATAGTAAACAGGCATATAGGGTGAACATTTACACCAGATAGATACATTCCTTGGAATGATCAGTCATGGGAGAACAGAAGGGCAGTATTTGCAGAGGGAGATAGTTCAGGGGGCAGGAATGCATAGGAAGGAAAGACATAGGGAAGAGATAACGACAGGGAAGAAGTGGGAAGAGAGCTGTTACATTGCAGTCAGTGTCATTAAACAAAATGTGTATGAACTGCTGTATGGAACATGAATTTGCTCTGTAAATTTCACCCACATCACAGTAATTTATATATATATATATATATAAAGGATAAGGGTTTCAGTTTTGTAAACCCTGCAGAAGATAGGCATTGAGGCAGGGCTGGAAACAGGATCTACCTTGCTTTGTGTGGCATCCAACAGCTCTTTTATAGTAAACTTTGAGAATAACTCTCAATATAATTCAATCCAAATTGTCCTGATGTACAGTAGGTAACCTGTTCAGAGGCAATCCAGTCTCTGGTTCCTTCTCTTCTAGTATCCTTGTATTCTTCCTGTCTCAGAGTGGGCAGGGAATACTGTGAGTGATTTCTAGGGAAGAAATATGTCTCAAATTGTCTGCAAGGCACTAAGAGAATAGAAGCATTAAGGATTCTAGACCTTTGCACATGTCCTTACTCTACACTTTATGAAACTCATTGTACTTTGTAAAACTTATTGTGACCATTTCAACTCATAGAACACTGTTTATACCACTCACTCGGGGCATAATCAAATACTAGTTGATGACAACTTTTGACTTTTTTGCATCCTATTGCTATTTAAATTTTTCCCGGTGCTTCTTTAGTAAATTCATATGGTAAACGGCCTCTTTGGTGTTTAGCCACAAATTAATTTTTGGTTGTAAAGTCTGACAGGTATTACACAGACTCTATATAAATGCAGATCACTTTCTATTCACTTCATTGCTCTTGTCCTCAATTATAGACTAATTTGATTATAAATGATCTTTACTTTTCCTTTGCAGTGCAAAGTGCCACAAACTCTAAGAGGTGAGGATGTGTATTTGAAGATACGAGAAAGTTAATCATGAAATCTTCCTCTTTTGACTCCCTCTTACGTCAAATACACCATCATGTGAAATACATAGGCTATAACGTGCATCTGCCACATATTCAAAAGTTAACATGAGTTCACATTTCAAAGCTTGATGGGCAGAAATACCCTGTTTTTCTTAAATAAATTCTTACTATAAGTTCCTATTATCATGTAAATCAGTTATCTTTCAGTTCCAAGTGACAGAAATCTAACTCAAAATAGTTTAAGCAAGAATGAGGAATTTTTGGCTCATGTAACTGAAAAGTCTAAGGGTAACTTGAGGCTCTCTCCTTCAGTAAACTATACCTTCTTGAGTCCAGTGATTGTACAATGCTTGGCACATGGTAATCACCCCACAAATGTATGTTAACTAAAAGATAATCTCCATATGGATAAGGTCCCTCCCTCATTACATTCAAGAAAAAATGCTGCAAAATATCTTGGCTTTTTAAGAGTAAGGTATAATCTTAAATAAAACATCACACAACACATGCAATTTGCTAAATTGTGCTATGAGGATGTGAATATTAAATAGTAAATTAAGTATCACTGGTCCTTAAATTTGATCTCATAGTCCTATTTGAATATTGGCAGATCTGATTACTGAGGTGAGGGGTTCTTAACTTGGAATCACAGACATCTAAGGGATTCAGGGATAAAATTCAGAGGACACATACACTTGGGTGGGAAAAAAACAAATTATATCTTTATTTTCACTAGGCTATAACTGAAAGTTAGTATTTTCTTCCATTATAAATGCAGACAATCCACAGTTCTAATAGCAGTAACTGTGATTTTGTCAATAATGGGTCGGATATTTTCATTATATTACAGTTGTTGTAAAGATCTCAAAATACTGTTTATGCTACTTCAATGTCATAGCAATTACTAGACCCCCCTGCTAGATCTGGTTATGTAATGCACACATATATTACTGTATTACAAATGTACATACATATTTGTTAACTTCAATTTAATTAGCTTCCTTTGTAACCTTTGTAACCTCACATATTTTCTACACTTAAATTCATCCTGAAAAGGAGGTTCATGGCACAAACATGTCAAAACTCAAAGTGATCTACGCATTCACTTAAAAATGAAGTAATGAAACAAAGGTGATGATCTTACCCCAGAGAAACTTAGCCCACCCTGCCCTCTCATTCCAATGTCATGCAAAGAATAGAGATCAAGATATCCTCTGTCAGGTTGAAGATTTTATCCACATGGAAAAGACATACAGGCTAGGTAGGAAAAGTGAGTAAATGCAGCTGGAACTACTAATTCACAACTAAATGCCACCAGACACTGGTTTAGCGGCTTGCCAAAAAATTTTTTAATTAATTTACTTTCGTAGTTATCAGCACACTTATCTATGAAAACAGGATATCCTGGCTATCAAAATTCTTAAGACAGAATCTGTTAGGTTGTAGAACCCTTTTCTAATGTTTGGTGGCAAGAACCTGTTGATGAGGTACACTCCTCCCTAGAATTCTTATGACCTAGGAATTTCTCTTAGTTTATCAGTCTGGGTTCTAACAACAGGTGGCCTTAAGATATTTTGAGAAGATACTATACAAAGGTCTATGTGTAGGAGAACCACAGTAGCTTCAGCAACTCAAGCCAAATAGCAGTTGAGTGGACATCACCCTTGGCCAGAAGGGAAGAGGGCAGGGAATGGTAACTTAAAGGAGTGGTGAAGGGCAGTTTGGGGGATGTGGTGACTACTGAGGGACAGTCAAGAGAATAAACACCCTGAAGATCCTCAGATCTTTTGACAGGACATTCCTTTGCAAAAATGACCTAGAAGCCAGGAGGCATACAGCCAACTGCTGTGGTCTATTCAAGTCAACTTTGTGGGATAGAGAGTGGATCTGAAGTGGTAAATGAAAGACATCTAGCACATCTAGCAAATCTCTACCATAGCACTACTTGATGCTCCAAGAAGACAGGCAAAACTGTATTTTTAAATACATGCCTGTGCCTAGTTTACTAATTGTAGCATATGTTAAGTGCTCAATAATACTGTGGTTGTTATGTGCCATTGAGTCGGACCCAACCATAGTGACCCCTCCTTGGGTTTCCAAGGCAGTATCACTACGGAAGTAGATTGCCCAACCTTCATAATATAGAAGGAATTAATAAGAGGAAAGGTTTGGGTAAACAAAGAGATGAAATACTGCTGAAATGAAGAGTAAAAGTAAATTATCTAGTATATGCAATTAGGAACTAAGTACTTTCAGACAAAGTGAACATTTAAAATGTTACTCAGACACTGGATTCTATCCTGTAGATAAGGTAGATATATATGAAAGCTTTATAATAAAGTAATTGCTGTTTTCTAGTTCCCAGTAGGAATAAAGTTTTAAAAATAACCTATTTACAAGACAAGAGATGATTCTTCTATAGTCACCAATAGAAGGAAAATACCAAAACCCATCAGCACTACATAATTTCAGTTTAAGTATATTAGTATTTATTACTTTCTGAACAGCATTCTTCTAAATATGAATTATTTCAATTAAAGCTTTTGAGAAGAAGACTTACGATTATGAAAATTAAAGTAAAAATTCAGGGGAAGAGAAAAAGAATGACATTCTATTTAATACACTCATTTTAAGAACAATCACATATGCATTGGTCTATCTAGACTCAGCCTCTGGTGAATCCAGTCTTGCTTAGTTATGCCATTTGTACCCATGCCACAATAAATCCTACATTACCCAAAAGCTTCATGTACAGTAAGCTACAGTAGCATAGTCAATCTGAACTTTTTAAAAATCACTATTCCACTGACTAATGTAAACAATTCATGCTCTAGCACAAGAATATTTAATGGTAGTCAAGAAAAACAACTGCCTATTCTTCTGAGGGCTGTGATAGTGGTTGCCTTTTCATTTTTGTATATTTGTTTAAAGTACAAAACCTTGAATAGTCAAATAGTCACTCAGCTGAAATCTCTAATTCACCTTCTACTCATAGTAAGAATAGTGACATTTCCTCCCCTGGGATCATAAAATATTTATAAAAATCTGTACTAACATTTTGTTAAGAATTTACAAACATCAATAAGAAGCTGACTACTCCAATTGCCATGCTCCAAGTGACTAGACACAGTACACACATTATAAAGAGTGTAAGGATAAATAGTGAATAACTGGGTATAATCACAGTAGCAAACGTTTACTAAGCCAATATTTATGAAAACATACCTGATACCATTTTCATAGCCCAAGTCAGTATCATTACTGGTGATGAAGCTCAGAAGCTATAATATACAAGTCCTAACTGTGGAAATAAGCAATAGAACTTTGTAAATGTGAGGGAAAAACACCCAGTTGTTTAAATCAATGAACATTTGCTAAGGGGAAAACTCAAATGATTATATCATTGACAGAGCCGCATTAAAATTGAATAGCCACATTTGCGTTCACTTACAAGGAATGCTATGAAGAGGCAGTTAAGCCACATTGTAAAATGTGTTAATTTACAGAAAATGAGTATTTTTCACAATTAGAAAAATTTAACATCTTTAGTCAACACACTTTGATGGGAAACAGCCTAAAAAAAATAAAAACCTATACACACCACCTGTTTTCAACTACAAACCAAAAAACTGTCACTGTGACTGAGGAAAGAAAGTAATTTTATATTCACTCTATCAGTTCATAAGAATTTAACTGCAAGGAATGATCTTAAAATGCTCATATGTAAACGTTAAGATTTTTTAAAAAAACCTTTTAACTAACATACGCAAGATATAAAACAGACTGCAAAACTAGTTCAAAGCAATTAGACTCCCATGGTTCTCTTATGTTCTTTATTTTAAATTGGTATTTTAGAACAGTAAATTATCTTTCACAGCAGTACCTCCTGGTCTGATAATACAGTACTCCATTTCTGAATGTAGAGATTTAAAATAAATCAAAATGAACATTAAGGCATACAAACAGCTACTTTAAGTCTGTTCTTACTTAATAAAGATCAGTTTTCACTCATTCAAATACATGGAATGTTGGCACAAAACTGAAGCTGCTGTAGAAAGATTGATCACAGATGTTCTATGGGTTATTGAAACTTGCATTTCTCTAAAAACATACCTTTATGTGGTTTTAATTTTACAAATTTAAGTGTTGAGAAAATGTCTAAATAATGAGTAGCAATTAAAATAAAATGTTTATTTGTAAATTATATACAGAATACATTTTATTCTATGACAAGGAAACAGGGAAGGAGGGGAAGAGCCATCATGTTTTCTGCTGGAGATGACCATCTTTCTCTAAATCCAATGTACAAACCAGTTTAGATTTCCTAAGTTGGAAAAGGAGAATTTGTAGCTAAACTAAAAGTATTGCTGGATTATTACTATTTGGCATATTTCCACAAAATGCTTTTGAACACTGCTAAGTCAGAATATTAAAATGAAATTTCCTGGTTACTTTCATAAAATTAAAAACAAAAGTTTAATTAATGAGAGAACAATTGAGTTTATGTATTTCATCTTAAAGAAACAGTGAAATAGCTATAATAAGTATGCATAATCTGAAATGTTGGTCTTTTATTCTTTTTATTCTGATTAGTCTTACAGTAAAAAGCCATACAGCTATCAAAAATGTCATTGTGGAAACTGAGTCTTTGATAACTATTAAAAGTAATTAGACCTGCTTACTGTAAAATTATTATCAAATGGATAAAACTTAGGCTTTTGTGGCTTTAGACTGTCCCAGCAATAGTCTGTAATATAAAGGACTGAATACAACTCTGTGGATGTCAAATTCATTTTAGCAAATGGATTTAAAGGATGCTACAAATACCACACGTACATTGTGATGATCAGCCAACACAGAAAATCCAACTTTTTGTACTTATTGAGTCCCAAAATTATATTAAGTTTATGATTTTTCATGTGACGGTTTAGTTGTTTCTCCATCGTTTCCCTCTTCCTCCTCCTCCTCTTCACAATCCCCATCTGTTTGCTGTTCCAGTTCCTCTTTTGTGATCATTTCAAAATCATTTCCATTTCCACTACTGTGTTGGGATCGGTCATCTTCCCTCCTGTCACTGTCCGTGTCTGAATGTCGTTCTCCACCTGAACCTTCTGTCCCATTATTTCCTGGTCCTACTTTTCCCTCCTCATCTTCCTTTTTCTCACTGTCTGATTTTTCCTCACTGTCAGACTTCTGTTGCTTTTTGGCTTCAGATTTCTCATCTTTCTTTAAGTCGGCTTTTGGTCCTTTGTATTCATGTGTGTACAGAGGCCTGAAGGAGTCAATGAAGCCCACGTCAGCGGTGAGATTTGGCAAGAACCAAAAGTGATGCCTTCCTCCAGTTATGAGCCAAATGATGAGAAACAGAATGCAGCGAGCTGTGGAGAAAAAAGTTTCTCTAACTGAGTGATTCAAGCATTGATCCAGGTTAAAACCAAATAAACTCACTGCATTAAGTCGGATCCGACTCTCAGCAACCCCTCCTTGGGTTTTTGAGGCAGTATCTCTACGCAAGTAGATTGCCCAGTCTTCCTTCCAAAGAGTGGCTGGTGGGTTTGAACCACTTGCCTTCTGGTTAGCAGTCAAATGGCCTTAGGCACTCCCTGCATTAAAAAAATACTACAAATTATAGTTTTAACACATTGGTATAAAGTCAAACCTAGCTAGTTCATTATTATGTATACATTTTCTTCTGATTTTAAAAGAAAAAATCACAACGGATCCTAAAAGTATCATGAGCCTCCAGCCCTGTACCTGAAGGATAGGTCAGTGCTGATATAAAGGATGCCAGTATTATTGTGTCTGTCTTACAGTACTTTATTTTATAAGTAAAAACACTTCTGAACAGTAAGAACATTTTCCTAAAGTGACAATTTTGTTAATATGGTAAATATTTACTTATTTAAAGACCAGCAATATTAGAAAATAATACGATGCTAATTAAAGCCAAATACGTTAAACACATAAGGTTTATGAGGTCACTTTTTTTGAACAATGTATTATGACAGAACTGTGAGATAATGGAATAATTAAGTAGGCTAAAATTAAGTTTGTAATAATGGGTTACCACAATATTCCTTAGTTTTCTCTTAGTTTGTCAGTTGTGTAGAAGTGAGCATTTTCCTTTTAAGACTGTATTGTTTATGTCTTAAAATGCTATGGCTTTTGTTTTGTTTTTAAAGACAATTTTATCACTGTTTTTACGTAACAATTGAAAAAAGCTCACCTACATTTCTTTGGTCATGGTGCCAGAGGGACCATTCCCTGAGGAAGGATTTCATGCTTGTTAAGGTGGAGGGACAGCAAAAAAGGGGAAGGCCCTCAACAAGATGGACTGACACAGTGGCTGCAACAATGGGCTCATGTACAGCAAGGATAGTGAGGCTGGCACAGGACTGGGCAGTGTTTCGTTCTGTTGTACACAGGGTTGCTATGAGTTGGAGCTGACTTGACGGCACCTAAACAACAAGGTATTTCTTCTACTAGTCTGGTTTGGATAAATTTCAAAGGAAATGTCTATAACTGCCTTAACTTTTATACAGTAGCTTATTTTTATTTTCACAATATTATGAAAGACTCCTGTACACTGTATTGGAATCTGGTGGTTGAAACAGAAAGGCAAATATATTTTAAGTTGAAAAATACCTTATTAATTTTTACTGATTACTAGAGATAAGCATTCTTCATGTTATTTATCAGTCATTTGATTTTTATTTCCTCTTCTGAACTGGGTCTTCACATCCTTTGCAATTTAATCCTAGGGACTGAGGGTTTCTCTTATCAATGAGTATGAGTGAATGAGAATATTAATCTTTAGTTTGTGTAGCCAGTTTTGAAGCTCACCTTTTGTTTTTTATTTGTATGTGATCAAATCTATTAGTGGTTATGAAAGACCTCAATCATCCTGAAATGTGAAAACGTTCACTTATGTTTTATGGTTTGATGTTTTAAAACTACTCAACAACTTAATCAATCTAGAGTTTCATTTGCCTTAGTCAAAATGTAAAGATGTTTTACTGACAATGTCTATAAAAATAACGTAGCCAATATTTTTAAGTCCTTCCTACAGCTAAGTTAAAGCACATCTGTGTGTACTAGATTAAGATTTATTTAATCCTTTTTCTTCAGATTTGATCACATCTAATCAAATACATATATTCATTCCTTTAGCCTAGGTCATTTTTTTGGATTTGAACAAAAAGTCCATTTACTTAGTTTAACTTCTTGATTGGCCTACAATTTTGCTATAAAGCTTTACTGAAGCTCCAGACTGGTCTTCCAATTTGAACTTAGGAAAGTCCAAACTACTCAATACTTACTTTACTGAGGTCAGTTTTACTAATGACACTTACCAACAGCAAGAAGAAGAATGCTGGCTACAAAACAGCCTGCGCCCACACTGAGGTAGTAAACACCTACTCTCATTTCTGCTGGCCAAAGTGGGAAGAGAGTTGCTGCTATCACTGCAATCACTGGAACAACAAATAATAGTTACAGTTACACAGGTGTAATACCAGTGAACATGTTCCTAGGGGGAAAATGTTGAAATATTAGACTGATTAACACAAAATAGCCACTTTTATAGGGGGAAAAAAAAGTCACTTACCAATATTTCAACCTAATGGGTTAAGTATTTTCTAAATTAGGTGAGGATTTTTGTGGTATAAATTATTTCTTAATTGTGTTAAATTATCTCCTCAAATTATCAACCGCAGCTCTTTTCATGCAAATGTCTACCTTATATTTTGAATATTAAGATGCCTGTTTACCGAATTACTTAAAGGAGTGAAGTAATAGAGGATCCAGGGAACTTCCTTTCATTTCAAAATTATGCTTTTTCTGTATTACTTAGTCTGCTAAATATCACTCCAGGACATAATTATGACCTAATATAAAAGCCAAACTACATATTACTTTGTAAAAGAACAAAACCAAAGTATCAGATCGATAAGTTACAAGTCATATAGATTTAAAAGAACACTTTTAAATAAGATTTTTGATCAAAGATTGTCTTATATCTTAAGATTCTCCTACTGTTTGAAGAATTAATGACATACCTTTGTAATCAGAAGAGACCTGAGATAATTTTTGAGTACAAAATAAAGGAATTATACTAGAATGCCTTATACATATAAACCCAGTGGGTGATCAGCAGCCTCCTGAGGAAATAAGGGATGATCAAACTGGTTAAAAGTCTTGGGTTACTGCAGTTACTTAAGGGAGTTTATCGAAACAAACCTAACCAAAAAGATGATTCCAAGGGTCCCTGCCCTGGAGATTCCAGGGTGGAGTTCTGTCATCAATTGATTTAAAAAGCTCACTAGGTGATGCTGATATAGATGACTGTTCATTAATAATAAATTAGGGAAACTGTATATAAGTATATCCAGTATTTTTTGTCCCCACCCCCCATCCAGGTAGGGCCATCTGGAAGAAAAAATATTACCAATAATTCATGTAAGGAAAATAAATATACAGAAATTAGAAGCATGGCTATCAGAACTTTGGAGTAAGAGACTAGGATTCAAATTTTAGTCCTATCAGTATAAGTGGAGTAACTCTGGACAAATTACTATGTGGCTAAGCTACCTTATATTTAATATGTGGGTAATAATCAAAAGCTTTTGTGAGGATGAAATGAAACAACATGTATAAAATATTTAGCAAAAGGATTAAAACATAGTAAATGATGGATAGACTTCAACTATTTAGACTGAGTTGAGTAATCTCAACTCTATTAAAGTTAAACCTAGTTTTCAAAAGATACATGGTATTTCCATTGTATAGTTGTATTATAATTTATTTCATCATTCTATTGAGGGGCTTCAACTTTTGCCAGTTTCATCCTTTTATAGACAATACCGCAACAAACACACCTTGCTAATTACAAAAAACAAGTACATTTGCTCAAGTATATAATCATAGCATAGGAACAAGGAAATTATTAGGCCAAAGGTTTATTGTTGTTAGTTGCCCATTAAGTTGATTCAACTCACAGAGACCACATGTGTCAGAGTAGAACTGTGTTCCACAGGGTTTTTGAAGCTGTCACCTTTTAGACGCAGACTGCAGTGCCTGCCTTCCGAGGAGCCTCTGGGTAAATTGGAACTGTCAACCTCTTTAGTAGTTGACCACTTAACTGTTTGTGCCACCAAGGGACTCCAGGCCAAAGATAAAGGATGTAGGCACTTAAAATTTTAAAAGATATTTGCTAAATTACACTCTTAAACATAGTCTACTGAGGGATCTGTATTTTTTCCAATATGCCAACACGCTTTTTTTAAAAAATTTTATTGTGATGTGGGTGAAAGTTTACAGAGAAAATTCATCTTCTACACAGTAGTTCACATATACTTCATCTCATGACATTGACTGTAATCTCCCACAACGCAACAGCTCTCCTCCCACTTCCTCCCCATAGCCACCTCTTCCTTGTGTCCTTTTCTCCCATGCACTCCTACCCACCCAGCCCGAGCTGTCTCCCTGTGCATACATAGCCCTTCTATTCTCCCATGATTGATCTCTCCAAGGAGTGTTTCTACTGAATGTAAATGTTCACCTCATATGCCTGTCTTTTGTTTGGCCAGAAGCCACAGGAGTGGGATCAATTCCAGAACTACAGGGAAACTAGGGGCGATAGTCTCAGGGGTTACACAAGGCCCTATCAGACCAGCAAACCTGGTCCTTTTCTTCTTTATAATTTTGAGTTTTGTTCTACATTATTCCCCACTCTATCCCGGACCTCCTACATAGATCCCCCTCCGAGTGGTTGACAATAGTAGCCGGGCACCATCTAATTCTTCAGGTCTCATAGTCGTGTAGGCTGAGGACCGTGTGGTGTACCAGTCACTTGGACTAATTGTTTCCATGAGTCTTTGGTTTTCTTCATTCTTCTTTGCTCTGGATAAGGAGAGACCCATCATTGCATCTAGATGGCCACTTGTAAGCTTTTAAGATCCCAGTCACTACTTACCAAAGTAGGATGTGAAACAATATTTATGTTATGCCAATTGAGCTTGATGTCCCCTGCGACCATGGTCCCAAGCCCACAGGTGCAGCTACTCACTCCCTCTGGGTAGCTGGCTGTGGGCTAAGAAATGATGACAACATTGTCCCTTGTCAGCTCTACTATACACCTAGAAATTCTTACAGGACATACAAACATACTTGTAGAAGCACTGTCTGCCAATGGCATGGGCACACTCCCCAATGAAAAGACATACCTAATTCTTCAGCCTGTCCACCCATCTATCCACCTGTAGATCAATGTTTGCCATCACTGACCATGTAGTACTGTATATGCAAAAGGGTTCACCTGTTGTCTGTACCTTCCATGCATCTCTCTCTGTCTTCCTCCTCCTCAATGCCACCAAGTTGATCACTCACATTTGGTAGATCGCCCTTCCTTTCACCTAGATCAATACTTATCTCTACCCATCTAGCAGTATTCCCTGCCCTCCCCTCCCACCCCTGGTAACCAACAAAGAAAATTTCCTTCCACATATAAACCTTTCCTTGACTCTTTACAATAACAGACTAATATAATATTTGTCCTTCTGTGATCAGCACACACTCTTGAATAGATACTTTGTGTAACTAAATGAAAACAGCAAAGGGCTCAATTCCTAGGCGTAGAATTGCTGGGTTAAAGAGAGTATGTTGTTGCTGTTGTTATGTGCCCTCAAGTCAGACTTGACTCATAGCGACCCCTCCTTGGGTTTCTGAGTCAGTATCATTACGAAGTGCCCCATCTTCCTTCCAAGGAGTGGCTGGTGGGTTTGAACCACCAACCTTCTGGTTAACAGTCAAGTGCCTTAGGCACTATGCTACCCGAGCTCCTAAAGAGAGTATATACATTAAAAAGAAAACCAATCATTTATATTTGAAATAATTTTTAAACTGCTCTCCATAAAAACAAACAATGGATGTGTTTGATCATCAAGCAATCCATCATCTGTTAAGTCTTGGTTTTTCCTAAGACCTTCATGAAGATTATCAAATTTTATAATCTGCTTAATTAGTGCTATTTTAATTTATATTTAGTATGAGTTAGATTAAGCATCATTTATGATTACTGGTCACTTACTTATGACTTCTGATTTCTTATTTTATTCTCTAAATTTTTGAGATTGTACTTTGAAGATACCATTACCCAGTTACTTACCAAGAATTAATCCCATGACAAATGTCTTGAAGTGAACTGGGTCATAGATCCACACAAATACCTAAAAGAATCAAGAAACCTCAGTGCTTAAAAGTGCTAAGGTCACATAAGAAAGTTAAGTTTAATTCTGTATTTTAGCTCCTTTAACAGAATCACTTCCAACCTCTTAAGGGGCAACCATTCTTAAATAGTAACAGAACCCTACATTTTACATGGGCACATGACCACCCAGTTTATAAAGTACCATTTCCAAGACTTCATTGCAGATAAGCATGATTATTATGTGATTAGGCTCTTCTGTCCACTAGACTCCTAGCAGAAATTGAACTGTCAACTCTCTGGAAAGTATCCTTAAAGAAGCATGTCCTTTATTCTATCCCCCTCCTTTGAATGCAGATATAAGGCTGGGAGTCATTTTGAACCATGGGCCAACTTCTGCTAGAAGCCTAAGTTCTAGCAAGATAGAGGAAAAAGATGAAAGCAGCCCAGATCCTCTGATACCTTGAAGCTGCATACCTATACTGATTACCTCTACAGTCTACTGACTGTAGTCCACTGACATGAAAGAGAAATAAGCATCTATTTTGTTTTAAGCTACTATTAAATCAGATTTGCTGTCACTCATATGTAAACCTATTCTGAACGATGTAAAACATTTTTAAAAATCTAAATTGAAAAAGTATTGGTTTTTAAATGTAGATTAGCTTTCATATACTAACGTGCAAGATTAGACTTACATAAATTATTTCCTTTCATAGTGAAACAAAAAACCATAATCCTTAAACCTCCTACTGAAATCTAGATTTCTAATTATAGGTTATATATTCTCACCTCATTTCCATCGAGAAAAACTTGATCATCATGTGGTTCAAGCTTGAATTTTTTCTTAGTTTCCTTCTTTTTGGGAGTTCCTGGAGTATCGTCCTATGAAACAAACATTATTTTATTCAAAGGAAAAACACGAATCAAAAAAAAAAAAAAAGAATCATATTCATAGTCAAAAAGACTTCACTGACAATATGTCGCACAGAAATAAAAATTTTCAACCATTACCAAAAAACCAAACTCACAGCCATCAATTCGGATCCAACTCATAGTGACCCCTCCTTGGGTTTCTGAGGCGGTGTAACTACGGAAATAGATTGCCTACCCTTCCTTCCGAGGAGTGGCTGGTGGGTTTGAACCACCAGCCTTCTGGTTAGCAGTCAAATGCCTTAGGCACTACACTACCAGAGCTTCCATGGCTTTTATAATAATCCTACATAAGCTCAAGTGCTTATATGCCAATACTAATCATTTACCTGTAATGATTTTTGAATTTTACTTAATTTTAGGTGAATTTACCTTTTTGGAGTCTTCCTTTTCGCCATCTTTTTTTTTCTCTTTTTCTTTCTTTATCTTTTCATCCTTTATATTTTCTTTCTTGCTTTTTTTATCTTCTTCTTTTCCACTTTCAGCTTTTCCTTTATCTTTTTCTTTCTTTATGTCTTTATCATATTTCATTTTCATTACTTTTAGTGCTCGATGAAAGAACTGCTTCTTTAACAGCCTTAGAAAGAAAAAGTATATGACATTATATTTCTTATTAATTCTCTAGATACAGAGTAAGAAAAATGTCAAGACACCAATAAAACGAGCAAAGGAAGACAAATTGGCAATTCACAAAGGAAATTATAGTAAGTCCATAGTCCATGAAAAATACTCAACCTTACTACTACTTTAAAAAAAAAAGAAAGAAAGAACCTTCTAGGTAAGACAGTATTGTTTTTTTTTTTTTTGCCCTGAAAATACCCAAACATTCTTAATGCTAATCAGGTTACCATGACACTGATTCTTCTATTTGCTGCTATCAACATAAACTGTTACTCCCCTATGGAAATGGTTATATGAAATAAGGTTTAAGAATATTTACTCTTAACTTTAATTTTCTGAATTAGAAGGAAACTCAAAATATGGTTATTGAAAATATACACTAAGACAAAAAAGGACATGAAATTACAGGAACACTAGTAATTATATTACAAAGATGCTTAAGAAAAGATGGAAAGGAAATTCTAAGAGCGACTGTATGCTAACAAATCCACATTAGGACTATGTTAGGATAATAGTATATAGGGTCTTTTTTCTGCAGTCAAAACAATCGGCAAAATGATTATATGTCTTTTATAAACTGACAAATTAGAATTTCTGGAATTTATGTCTACTGATTATAATCTATACTATAAAATCTAGTACCCCACTTATTTATATTTATAGTAACTCAGCCACTCCTTGGAAGGAAGATGGGGCAATCTACTTCCATAGTGATACTGCCTCAGAAACCCAAGGAGGGGTCGCTGTGAGTCAGGTCCAACTCGACGGCACATAACAACAACAACATAGCTTTAAGAAACATTTTGAATGTATTATTTCCAGTTTCTACAGAAACATGATTTCAGAATACCTACCCAGAATAAAGCTTTTTTCCATACCAATAAGTATATTACCAGATTCTTTCTTGATCATCTCTGAAACAATTTCATTAAACAGAGAATGGAGAAGAGAAGTGATCAAGTACCTCACTACTCAGATTTCAAAGCTAGGATCACATCTCATTCTTCCCTTCTGCTTCCTTCAGCATCAGAAAAGGAAACATATCATCATCATAGCATCCTCAAAGCCTGTGTCCTACTGTCCTTCTGCTACATCCTGACCTCTAGTTTGGGAAAATGAATGGTGTCAAGTCATGAAAGAATTCCTGGAGAAGATAGAATCTCAGCTGAGTTTTGAAAGATAAAGACTGCAAAGAAGGGAGGAAAGACAGCAGAAGATGACAATATAATGAATTAATAATAAAATAATACTGAAACATAACTAGAGAATTAGATAGCAGTATTATTAAGAGACACCAGTATTAATGTAAAGAGAACAGTATTTTGAGAGAGTAGCCAATATGTTGTCATGTTTGTAGTAGGTAAAATATAGGATAAAACAAAAAATAAAAGGCTGAGCACATGAATGGAGGCCTCTTAAGAGTAGCCTATACATAACATACTATACAAAACATTGTTCCACCTCCTACTTTGATGAGTAGTGACTGGGATCTTAAAAGCTAGCAAGCTGCCATCTAGATGCAACGATGGGTCTCTCCTCGTCAAGAGCAAAGAAGAAAGAAGAAAACCAAAATTAATGGAAACAATCAGTCCTTGTGACTGGTACACCATCCAATCTGCAACCTATACAACTATGAGACCAGAAGAACTAGATGGTGCCTGGCTATCACTGTCATCCACTTGGAAGGGATGTAGGAGATCCTGGATAGAGAGGGAGAACAATGTGGAACAAAACTCAAAATCATTTGGAGGAAAAAAAAGAAAAAGAAAAAAGAAGGTGGAGACCAGTTTGCTGGTCCAACAGAGCCTGGTGGAACCACTGAGACTATAGCCCCTAGCTGCCCTTCAGGTCTGGAATTGAACCCACACCTGTGGTTTCCAGCCAAATAAAGTTCAGGCATGTGAGTTAAACATTTACCTCAAGTAGACACACACCTTGGAGAGAACAATCATGGGAGAAGGAAGGGCTGCTTATGCACAGGGAGACAGCTCAGGGCGCAGGAGAGTATGGAGGAATGGACACTGGAAAAAGGTAACTATGGGGAGGAAGTAGGAGGGGAGCTGTTGCATTGTGGTAAACTGTGGTCAATGACATGAGACAAAGTATATGTGAACTGCTGTATGGAAAGTGAATTTGCTCTGTAAATCTTCACCAAAATCACAATAAATAAATAAATAAATAAAAGAATAGCCTATAAACTTCACTAAAGTACGCTGCATATAACCAAAGGGAGACTCAACTTTTCTAAACCCTCTAAATGCTTATACCCAGAATAGTAAGGTGATCCTTATTGTGCAACTGGCTCTTTCCCTCCAGATTATCAATGTCATAAAGTGAGGATGCAAAGAACATATCCTGCCTTCTCTGTCATTTACAGATATTCTTTCCTATTCAAGATAACTTTACAGATGATTACATAAAAATTGTCAACTCAGTGATATTCAACATAATTTTCATTTTTACTTACTTAATTTAGGCATGAGAGGCTAGCGCTAGAGTTATCCATGTCAACTTTTCTATGCTCATTGAGAGTAATTAAGGCTGAGTTTCAATTGGTAAACTATCAAATTAAAGAGCAGACAAAAAGGAAAGAGGCATCTGAAAGTGTGTCCCATATTTTAATTGATCCAAATAATTTCTCAGTTATCTTTTTAATGCTATTTTTTCTCTCTATGCATTGCTCTATTCACCCTTCCACTATAATGAAAATATCTTCAATTGAGAAATGAACAATTACATAAAGGTGTAATTTCTGGACTCTGAAAAGGACTCACATAGCATCAAACTGAAAAAAGTACAAATTTGTCAAAACAAAACACTATGTATTAATAATTTCATTAATTTCTCTCTAAAGACATTTTTCTTCCCTCTATTTTTATTTTACATTTCTACTTCACAGCCTTCACACTGGCTGTTATTTTTTCATTCTATTTCAGAATGTTCAATAATTCTCTTATAATTTTCCCTTTTTGCACAAATGTGATTTTCTGAACATTTATTACTGCTGAAATATTATATAAAAATACTTGTTGTTCATTGTATGTTAACTGAAATATCATTGTTTCAAATTACAGTTCATATTATAGATATTAGTATATTAAATATACATGCAGATGAGAGGAGCCAAGACAGTGGACTAGTCAGACACACCATGCTGTCTTCTACAACAAAGACATGAGAAACCATGAGAAACAGATGCATAGGACAATCTTGGAACCCTGAGCATCACATGAAAAGAATAAAGAATTAAACTGAACATTGATTGGAAGAAGAAACTGACCAAAAAGAGTGAACCAGGAGACATCTGGTAAGATGGCGGAACAGACAGACAAGCTACACAGACCCTCTTCAACAAAGAAAAGAGAAACCAATTGACAGATATACACAAGATAATCCTGAAGCCATGAACTTTGAAAGGAAGAACAGACAAGTGGATTAATTACCAACTAGTAGAAGAACCTGAATAAAAACAGCAAAATAAGGAGACAAAGCTGCATACTGTCAGTTATCCTGATGGCATGGAGAATTTGAATATTTACAAATAGTATTAAGACCTAAGCAGTAACTAAAAATCAGCCCTGCTTGCCACAGGCTACATGGGCAACTGCACTGGTGGCTGACGACTAAAAAGGGAAATTGCAAAGGAGACAAACTTAGCTGTAGACTTTTGGCTGTACAGACAGCAAGGCCATTTTGTATGTTTACAAGCATTATGGCCATTTTGGATATTTAAAGGGGTAGTGTTCAGATCCCAGTGACCTAAGAATAGACTCCACTTGCTGAGGACAACCCAACACAGGCAAACACATTGGAGGCTGACAAGTGAAAAGGTTACAGTTTTTGGTTTTTATCTCCTCCCTTTTCCTGTCTGCCATGTTGCCATCATTTTTGTTTCTTTTGGTCTTTCCCATACCTTGTTCTTTTTGCAGTTTTCTCATTTTTTCTTTATTATTCTCTTACTGTAGTTCTTTTCTCTTATTCCTTCCTCCACAGATACTGGGTTTTTTTTTGTTGTTCTTCTTTCTAGATGTATTTCTTTTGTCTTTGTGTGTGTGTGTGATTGTTCCCATGTATTTATTTGTTGTGTACTTCTTGTCCTCTTCTTACTTTTTTATTGTTGTTTTCGTCTAACTGAGCGGGAGACAACCACCAGGTCCATACAGCCCAACCATGCCCACACCTCCTGCAGTCCCAACTACTGAGTGAGGGCCACCACTTGCTTCTGCACCAGATGGTCAATGATAGATGATAGACAATACAAACCTGACTAACGTATAACTGCTCTTCACAAATGGCTAACAATAGATCTGTGCACCCACTCTCACTCTCTATCACACCCACCAGGAGACAGGTGGTGAATACATAAGTGCTGACAACTAGTGAATAGAGGAGCACAGTACCTTGCTTACTCAGATACATCCAAACAAAACAAAGAAAAAAAAAATCTTGGACAAATCACACCAACATAAAATCACCAATATAAATACAACGTCACAATGTCTCAGAGACAACAGACTGTCACAGTCCACACAAAGAAGCAAGATAAAGCTGGAGAAACAGGGGACCAGGAAGAAGACCCTCAGTGAAACATCACTGAGTAAGCAGCAGCATTGGAACTCTCTGAGAATAAATTCAAAAGAATTATATTTAGGTACCTTCAACGGACTGAGAGACAGATCAAGTAAAACACTGACAAAATTAAGGAAAACACAGACAAAATCCTAGAACAATTTCAGAAGACAATACCAGAACAAAATGACGAAATAAATGAAAAGTTACAAATGATACAAAATCTCCAGAAGGTAATCCAGAAAATAAATACTAAAATTTCAGAAATAGGTAACATATCAAACAGGCAAAGAAGTAGAATCAAATCCACAAAAGACAAAATTAGTGAGATTGAAGACAAATACCTCAATACTACTTTGATAAAGGATCAATCAGAAAAAAAGATCA